TCTGAATGAGGAGGAGGAGGTAGATAGCAGCCTCCTGGTGCACATTGGCTTGGCCAGGTGTGGAGGTGGATGGGTTAAATCCATACTGTGTCAGTGTCAAGTCCAGACTTTCCTGGTGCTTTTGTTTGGGTCGGAGAGACCATGGGAAGGTGTGTGTGTGTGGGGGGGGGGGGCTGGGCCTCTGTCAGGTGGTCACCAGCTAGGCTTGTGCGGTCCTCTGCTTCTTAACCTGGTGCGAAGGCTCTGTGGAGAGTAGATCTAGGAATTGGCCCAGGGGCTCTTAGATACCAGGAAAAGTTTGTAGTTCTTTGCCCAGTTTTAAATGCTTGTTTTCACAGTGGCTGGACTTTGGTGTATTATTCCAGACTTCTTTTTGCCGCTTTGTGATTGTGTCCTGTGACTGGAGGAGAGGTGGTCCATGTCTTCTGTCTTGTGGCCCTATCTATTGTATACTGTCTTGGGCAGAATGTGTTTGGTCAGCCATGAAAACCAGGAAACTCTCTAGCTTGTGCAAGATGTAGGCTTCCCAGAGCAATGTTTTAAGAAAAAAAAATCGGTACTGGAGAATTCTGTGTTTCCCATGTCTTTTATCTTTCCATTTTAGGAAGCAAGTTACTATTGTGGACATTCTGTTTATCCTCAGCTGATTAATAAATACTACCTTTAAAAAAAGAAGCCAAGAGCGCTAGCACCTGAACAGAGATGGTTTCGTATTGTGATTAGGAGGCAGGGCAGTGCACCACCTCATCTCCTGCTTGCCTGCCTCTGTGATCAGTCTTAGAAAGTTGTTGCCGAGGAAAGTCAGGCCTCGAAAGAAGCGGGCCAGGTGCCTCACCGGCTGTGGAGAGAGGAGATCCCTCCCGTTGCTGGGGTCCTCCTTGGCTGAGTGGACACCTTCAGTCCACCTCGCTGTCTTTGAAGACGGTCGCCTCCTACTTCAGGAACCTGTGAGGGAGGGCATGATGAGTACCTGCTGAGTGTGTGTGTGTGGGGTGCTTTCCTTACACAGTGGAAGAATCATCTGATTCCGTGTTTGGCACCATAACCTAAAAACTACCCTTGTTAGAGTGGGTTTGTTTTCCCACTGAATTCAGCACTTGTCTATCTGCTCCCATTCTCTTTATAACAGTAATTAATCACTCTTACCGTTTGGCCTAAGATCGACTGTGTAACAGTAATTCATGCTGGATTCCTCTCTGTCCGGGAAACTGAAAAGACAGCCTGGACTGTGACCATGCTCTGCGTACTCACACATCTGAGGATTAGTTTCCCAGAGCACAGCGGACATGGAAAGGTATTTGGGAATACTGTTACTGAACAGCAGTTGTTTCTACCTCTTGTCAGCTTGTGACTGGATCTTAGACGATTGTCCTAGTTAACCAGTCCTTAAGAACACATCCTTTTTGTAATCTGTTTAGTCAGTAGAGGTCATTGAGCCATTTGGTAACAATGTATCCTACATAGAATGTCCTTTGATGGTGATCAGAAACTTCCTGATCAGGTGTTTGTGCTTGATTTTGATTTTTTAGTAAAGTGTTTGGAAGAATGGTCCTGTCTCTCTGGCCCTTTGTTTTTTCCTGAAAGTATTGGTCACTGGAGTTTCAGTGAGATAAGGTTCATTGCATGTGAAAATCTATGTGTGAGAAAGTTTGTGGTTCTCTTTTGTGTTCATCTCCCTGGTGTAAAGAACTTTCTGGGGGTTGTGGAGTCATTTGCATAAGTCGTTTTCAGAGCATATGTGCTGCCCACAGCCAGCATCTGTGTGAGACTTGAAATCCTCTTGAGCCGTTTCAGAATGCCTCAGTTTGTTTTCCAAGTTTGGGGGTTTTCACATGTCATTAAAGTTCCTCTTTGGCCTTCCAAGTGTTTTCTCTTCATAAAAATAGCTTCTCAGTTGACATCATCCCCTAAAATACATTCTACCTCTGTATTAGTTTTCTATGCTGCATACCGAGGGCCACACATGTAAGGCAACAACCCATGTCTCCCGCCGTGTTCCCAGGGTCAGGAATCCCCTGCTGGGCCTCAGAGCATCCTCCCGGCTCCTAGGGATGCACGTGATTTCCTGCTGTTGTAGGACTGAGGTCATGGGCTGCCACTCTTGCCTTGGCATAACCACTAGGCCACTGGACGTCCAGTAGGAGTCCTTCCAATGGCCAGAACAGCCTTGTGTGGGAATATCCACCATTGGAATGGCGACTTCCTCTGTTGCAGCTGCCCTTGGAGTGAGTTACAGGTCCCTCCTGTCTTGGTTGGCTGCTTGGCTCCCAGCTGACTTTCAGATGCCCACCACTAGAGTCCCAGAAGCGTTCTGTGTGGAAAACACAAGGCCTTGTCCAACAACAGAAAACTAACCTAGCTACAGACAAAGAAGAATGCATATAATTGAGTTTAAAAGTACTGTGAGATGGTGGCTGTTTATGAAGCTGAATCATGGTCATAGGAATATGTCAGGAACTGTGACTGATGGACATTGACTTTCATGTAAGGAGGAGACCAGGACAGTCTCAGGAAGCAACAGGGTGAACCAGGCCATGAAGTCAGCATGTGTCAGCAGTGTCCTGTAGGCCCTGAAATTCTGTGTGGAATCCTCTCTGTCCTTTGTAACATCGTCAGGAAATTTCCAGAAAAAAGTGACTTAATGCATCTATAAATTGAGTTTTTCTGTCAGAAAGTTCTATTAATTAGAAGATTGGTTGCTGTGGGATGTTCTGTATGTCCTATGGGAGCTTGTTCTTGGGTTCCTCGTGGCTTTACCCAGCAGGTCCGCATAGAGGATGATCAGGACCACGGGCCTGAGTGCAGGTATCTAAGATGGTCTGCACTTGGCTGTGCTGGGGGATGGTCTGTATGGCAAATGTGTTGCTCTGATTGGTCAATAAATAAAACCTGATTGGCCATGGCTAGGCACTAAGTATAGGTGGGACTAACAGAGAGGAGAAATAAAAGAACAGAAAGGCAGGAGTCACTGCCTGCAGCAGCCGCCAGGACAGGGAAGATGTAAAGTACCGGGTATAGATTTGTGGAAATGGATTAATTTAAGCTAT